AGCAGAGGCTCCTGCCAGCTTTGGGAGAAGTGGTGGTTCAAGCAGAGGCCCCTGCCAGCTTTGGGAGCGGTGGTGGTTCAAGAAGAGGGCGCATCGGGGTATTGGCCCTTCTGGGGCTGTAGGGGCACATGAGAGCGTACAGGGCCCTGTGAAGTGTGAGGTGTCATGCTGGTGTGCGTCCCAGTGCAAGGACCTGGGACATAGTCCCTCTGGTGTTATGGAAGCCTGCAGGCAACTGGAAATTTTGGCACCCCACACATGGAATGGACACCCAGCTTTCTGAGCTGCCCCTCGTGAGGAGAAGCAGAGGATGATGAGCCTGGCATCATTAAACTGCTTCCACATGAAGAGCTGCTGGGACACAGGGGAACAGGGCAGTTGCAAATCAAAGAACACCATCTGGTCTGCACAAGCCTGGAGGGGTTACAAGACCCTGCCTGGGGCTAGAGGCTAAGCTACAGCACACATCTGCCCATGAAGAAATGGCACAAGGATGTGGAGAGGCAAAACTAGCAGTAACCCTTACTGTTAGACTCAGCAGTGAGGACAGGAATGAAGCACTGAGATGACACAGATAATCATAGCCATGGTCCCCAAACAGTCAGAGATCATCACCTTCCACTATTTTGTCTTCTGAAACTTTCTCTGAAGCAGAAGACAGCCATATCAAAGTTTCAGATGTGATTCCCCACACACATACATTTGCTCTGTAGGCTTCTGGGGAGGTTTTGATACCAATTTGGAAAGCACATCGTCCTCTTCTGACACGCACTGGCAAGGCTAACTTGCTACAGAGCTCCCCTAGCAGCATGGGGATTCTGCACTGGAAAGAAGTAGTGCCAAATAAAGAACAAAGTAAAACTTTCCGGTATCAGCAATAGCTGGTGACTGTGTGTCTACTTTTAGCCTGTGTCCAGGCCTAAAATGTGACAGCCGCTCTATCACCCAACAACCCCTCACCAGCCAGGGAGGAGAAGCAGAAAAAAGGAGAGCAGAGTCATGGGTAGAAGATAGATTTAATGAAACAGCACCAATATCAACAGAGATATACAGAGTTACTTAGCCAAATGAATAGTCAGTTGTCACAATCAACCAGCGACTAGTCCTCAGGAGAAGCCAGAGAATGAAACCCCACAGATGTTCACTCTCTACAGCAAACCTTCCCCCTTTATAATAACCATGACATTATGGTATGGGCTACATTTGTACCTAACTCAGGTCAGCTGTCCTGATTCTATCCCAGTCAAACCAGGACACTGTGCTGTCCGTACCATTGGCAGCAGGACAGCAATGCACCACAGAAAGCAGCCATGGTCATGTGTTCTGTCTCCCACTGCCACTGCTGGGTTGATCTGTTCTTTCTGCGTTCCTGTAAAGTGAAAAAGTGAGGCAATTCCTGGAAAATGGCTCTTTGGACAAGCTGTCTTGCACCCATTTCTTCTGACTTGCTGCTGACTGATCCCGTACCTGATGGAACATGGAAATTCAAGAGAAATACATGAATGAGTGAATCCCAGGAGTAAAGACAAGGCAATGGATCAAAAGAGAGGAAGCAATTGTTAAAATACAAGCCTCAGCTATCTCAGCAGTTATGGATAGCTAGCAGAAAGTACTGTACAATGTGCTGATATGTGTTTTGTCACGTCTCTGGAAGCTTCTTCTGACATGAGACCTTTTAGAGATTTTCTCCCAACCAGATCATAATTGCTAAAATTTTCAGCCAGGCTTTTGGAAAGACTGGTTGTTCTCTTGCATGCTTTGAATAGCAAAGAAGAGTGTTCTTCTCCCTCTGGTTTTGTTTCGTTTCCTATGTCCCATTTGGAAGAATGAATGCTGCAACTGGGGATTGTTAGCGATGTGTTAGGAGCTTTGCCGGTTGACATGTCATGAGTGGTGGTCACTCCAAAATCAGGCTCCACAAGGGCTGTGTGGGGCTCCTTGGGAGTGACAGTGCAGTCCTGTGAAGAGCGAACTGCAAGCTGCCCAACAGGCTTTGATACAAGGGAAATGGACTGAGGTGTCATAAATCCTCTGAGACGCCTCTGGGTGAAGTTTATTACCGAGAAGGACAACTAGAGAAAATTACTTGAAAGTCTGTCTTTGTGGCATGGGTCTTAATATCGGTTGGCTTTTTCTCTGTGCTAGAAAGAAGACAAGCAAGTATTTTCTTGCGGCAACCTTAAGATATTCTCAGCATTTCTAAAGGCTTCTCTTCCTTAACTATGTGTGAGTGTAAACAGGTGCTTGTTCAGTCTCCCATCACATCAGATTTTTGAGATTCAGAAATCACCATGTATTTTGTTGTTGTTGTTGTTGTTAATGTAATGTCCTCTGTGCTGCTAGTACATAATTTATAGAATATGAAGAGGTTCTCCCACTTAGGATTAATACTTGCTCTTCCTACCTATTGAAAGAGGTGAATGCTGCCTCAAATTTGCCCACTCACAGAAATCAATGCACAACATCCATTCTGAATTCCAAATTAACCCCAAATGCCATATTGAATTCTGGTGGACTTGACAGGAGTTTATTGAGGCAAGGGTCCACAAACCATACTTCTGCTGCTGTTTTAGGCAAACCAGAGTGAAATTCTACCATCTTCGGTCACCAAACACTTCATCTGAACAATGCAAAGCAGCTTAGGGAATGTGCTGCCACAGGATTTCTTAGCAGGCAGTAACTCAGTGTGGTTCTACAAAGAGAGCATATACAGGAAGAACAGGAAAATCCAGTCAGAGTAAAGGCTGGGAAAGAACTGGGGATTCCTTAGCTCAAGGCATGAACAAAGATTATGGTAGAGCAATAGTAGAAGCTATCCCTGTGGGCAAGGACATGTTCTGTAGAACTTCAGTGTGACTGGCCTTGAAACTTTCTGGCCTTTGCTGCCTCTGGAAATCACAGGCCCCAGAAGCCAGAGGGTGTGCCTGGGGTGAGGGAGAGTTTGCCTTAGGGAGAACTGGTTTGAGGAACATTTAAACAACTGGAGCAGACACAAGTCCCTGGGAGCGGATGGGATGCCCCCAGAGTGCTGAGGGAGCTGCCTGAAGTCCTTCCAAGACCACTCTCTGTCACCTGTGTAATTACAGCCATGATGATGGAGAGAGGTTCCTGGGGACTGGCAGAAAGCTGTCTGCAGGGAACTACAGGCCGGCCAGCCTCACCTTGATCCCTGGGAAGGTGATGGAGCACATAATCCTGGAAACCATCTCCAGACATATGAAGGACAAGGTGGCCATCAGGATTAGTAGATTGGCATGGCTTTATGAAAGGGAGATAATGCTGAAGCAACTTGATACAGTACATGCCAGAGGCTGACCAACCAGCTGGAAAGCAACTTGGTAAAGAAGGCCCTGGAGGTCTCTTAGTGGACACCAACTTAGACATGAGGCAGCAGTGAAACCTTGGGGCAACAAAGGCCAAAACCCTCCTGGGCTGCATTAGGAGGAGTATTGTCTGCAGGTTGAGGGAGGTGGTCCTTCTCTCCTTAGCTCTGGTGAGGCTACCCCCATACCTCCATGTCCAGTTCTGGGCTGCCCAGTACAAGAGAGACACAGACATACTGAAGCAAGTGCTTTGAAGGGCCAGAAAGATGACAAAGAGACTGGAGAAATGGTCCTGGGAGAATAGGGGTGGCTCTGCTCATGGTGGGAGCCTCCAGATTCCTGGAGCCTGGCAGGTCCCACAGTCACAGGCAGGCTTTGAATGGAGAGGTGTCCCCATATGGGGAGGCTGCTTTGTGGCCTGGAGGGTGGGAGGGATGGATTGGGGGAGATCCCTTGCAGGGGCTGTCCATGATGGGACCTCCGCCAGGAAAGACGGAGCCAAGAGAGGGTTCAAGGCTTTTATAGTGGCCCCTGAAGTTGAGGGGGCCCCAAAACTGCACACGGATGCTGAGTGCTTGGCAGCCTAGGTGCCCGAGCCCGCATGCCCCGCGGGCAGGAACTGAGACCCAGTAGGTCCAGAGCAGCTCAGCAGCTGAGAGGTGCTGGCTGGCTGGGCACAGCAGGCGCAAGATCACCTCTTGGGGGGACACAGGAGTCAGGTTGGGGCCTGGAAGAAGCCCATTGTCTGGAGGACCCCTGCACACTCCCACCCCAATGTCCCTGGCCCTTGGTGCCCCAGCTGTCCCCAATGCTCCTTAATGCCCCCTAGCTCCATTACTGCCCCCTCAGCACCCTCAGTGCCCTCCGGCTCTCCCCTGATGCCCCCTAGCTGCCTCTCCCTGCCCACAGCTGCCCTCCAGCTCCCTCCCCATGGCTCTCAGCTTCCCATGCCCTCTTATGGCCCTAGCTCCCCCTTAATGCTTCCTAGGTGCCCCCCAAAGCTCCGTAGCTGTCCCCCATTCCTCTGACCTCCATCTTCTGCTCTCCCACCCCTCAATGCCCACTAATGCCTCTTCAATGCCCCCCCCAGCTGCCCCCAGCCCCCCACCTTGCAGTCCTGGGGCAGGGGCTGCCCTCAGGGGAGGACGGGGTGCTGCTGGATCTGGCACAGGAGGTGCCGCACAGTGGTGGCATTGAAGGGCATGCAGCCCAGGAGCAGGGCATAGAGGATGACCCTGGCGCTCCAGGTGTCAGTCAGGAAGGGGTCATAGGGCAGCACCTGCAGGGTCTTGGGACAGGCGTAAGCACAGAACCTGCAGAAGGTCTGGCTCAGCACCGCCTTGATGGGCAGCCCTGCACATGGGAGGCTCAGAGTGACTCCCCACTGGCATCCTGCAGGGGCCACCCTCCTGGAGAAGCTCGAGATAAGAGACCTTCACATTGTTCTTGCTGTCCAGAAGAAAGTTTTCCAGCTTCAAGTCCCTGTGGAGGGAGAGGCAGCATATGCTAGGGGCAGGCACAGGCAGATGGCAGCTGTGGGGAGGCGGAGGTCAGGGGCCAAGGAGGAAGCTGTAGGTAGATGAGGGGCCGGGAGCTCCTCTGGGACGAGGAGGAGGACTTGGGCTGGGAGCTCCTCTGGGAGGAGGAGGACTTGGGCTGGGACCTGTGGGGCAGGTGGTCGTGTGGAGGGAGAGTAGGTAAGGGTGCAGTGTGGCAGGCGGAGGTGTGGAGGCAAAGAAAGGCTTCCAGGAGGCCCTTCATTGCCAAGGCTGGGCTGGGGGGAATGATCCTCCAGGCAGCATGGCCAGGGCCCTGCAGAGCCCTTGCTGCCTCGGGGAGCTCTGTCCCCAGCTGTCAGAGCAAGCACCCTGTGCCCCCATGCTCATGCTCAGTCACCGGTAGATGATGGCCCTGCTGTGCAGGTAGACCAGAGTGAGGAGCAGCTGGGAGAACCAGAGCCCTGCCTGGCTCTGGGAGCAGGGCCCCTGGCTCTACACCCGCTCCAGGACACTGCCCGAGGGGGCCAGGTCCATGAGGAGGTAGAAGCCTGCCCTCATCTTCGTGCCTTGGTACGGTGTGATGAGGTGCTCGTGGCACAAGCCCTTCAAGACCTGCGGGCAGCAGGGGCTTGATGTGGGACAGGCCTGCCCCCCTCTGGCCCCCCTTTGCCTTGCACCCCCTGCACCCCTGCCCCTTTGGGCTACTGTGTGAGCCCACACAAGCAGGATGCAGGACCACCACAGAACCAGGCGTGAAATGCAAAGAGTAAATTTATTCTCGTTACCTCACAATCCGGGGGATCGCCGCAGCAGCACCCGGGCAGAGGCACGTAAGCAGGGATGCAGGCACCATGGAGCTCGGTCCTGCTAGTGAGCAAAAAGCTGACAACCCCGCTGCTTTTCGCCTGTTATAACAGGGACTTTTCAAGTGTATTTTTCCACTGTGCTTTGATCTCTCCCACAGCGGGGCAGGAATCTCAGGTGTGTTTGATAAGGTGCCTTCAAGTCCATCACAGGGCTACCTTATCTGAACACAGACGGTCTACCTGTCAAACACACAGAACTAAAAAACAATTAGTGTGATATGTGTTTTTTGACACCCCAGCTGCAAGTCACTTAAGCGTGTTTACAATCGCCCTCGCCAGTCTTCCGTTTTTCTCCGACAGCTACTAATG